AGAGTAAACACACCGACCGGATCGGTTCCCTGACTCACGACCAGCTCAAAAACACAAGTCATGCCCCCGCATGAACCCCTGCCTCCCGCCGTGCCTCCCCCTTCACCTACCTCGGCACGCAGCTGGGTGAGGAGCGGTCCACCTCCCAGGTGGCGAACAGGTTCATGTGGACGGGCCGGTTGGAGGTGATGCTCACCGGCTTGGAGGGCTGCATGTGCGGCGAAGGGACGCCCCCAGTCCGCGGGAGCCCTCCTCGCTCCGACATCCTGGAGGCTGAAAGAGGGAGCTTTCAGGCGGAGATAAAAGGTGTCTTTAGTGGGGGGGGACGGGCTACCCGGAGCAGCCTGCCGTCTCGTCTCCTTCTTTCTCTTCGTTTTCTTTCTCCGTCTTCAGGCTCGAGCTGCTGCAGAGGGAAAGTTGATCCGTTCGGTGCTAATATACGAAAAACAGTGAAAACGCGCCATTCGTTTACGGGTTCGTGCCGATAAAATAAGGCAGCTAATTCCCCGTGTGTATCCCGTGTTGGCTCGGTGTGTGTGTGTGCTGCTGCTGGTTGTTGGTGTTGATCGGTGCAGGAAGCGGAAATTTGTCTCGGTGAAGTCGCGCAGTGAGCGGAACCCAGAAGAACAACGCCTCTTCAGCGAGCTAGCGAGCCATGAGAATTCCAGCTCTTTTCAAGGAGCCGATTCATTTGGTTCATCTTACAGTTTTGAATTCTAAACAGTTCTTCAGTTCCGCTCCCTTTCTGATCGGCTCATGGATCCCCGGAAGAACGATAAAATGAATGCAAGTAAACGGGGCTAAAAATCTATTTTCTAACCCGCTTTGCCTTAGGCCCTGGATCACACATGTTGTACTTCAATTTAAATGAAAAGTAATGATGTTTCAAACACACCAGTCATGTACCGACCAAAGTGCATGACTACAAATCGGACATGGGTATGATGTCACCACAGAATCGACTCTTCCCTAGCTAGCTGCTACTTACCACATGGCCAGATTTGTGGCGGATCTTTCCTTCTGAAAGAAGGATTTGAAGTTTGCTAAACTTACAGCCAATCTCTTCAAAGAGCAAGTCACCCCCAAATAAACATTTTTTGCTAGTAAACCATATAAATTAGTGTCTAATCGTACTGTAGACGTGTAGTCAGTATTTTGGCCCTTTAAATATTCTGCCTAGAACTGTCAGTGTTGCACCCCCTTCAGATAAAAACTCTGCACTGCATTTGAATTCAAATCTGCCATCACTATTGGCTAAGAGGTGCACTATGATGTTAGCTGGTACATTATGATGTCACAATGTCGTTGTGTGCCTGTGTGTGTTTGTATTTTTTAGCGGTTCTGCCCTCTCTGTCTGCTAGGCAATAGCATGTTTTGCATTTTTCAAACAGGAAGTGGGAGTGGAGTAAGACTCTGGTAGGGGCTGACTTGCTCTTTAACTAGAAGCCTGACTAATAACTTGCCCAATGTGTTTACAACACCAGCTTTATTGTGTTGATGTGCTTCTTATGGTTACACAGCAGCACCTTGCAAAGTAATTTAGTGTTGATTAATCCTTTATTTCTCTCGGCTAGCCAGGGAATGCTTTGGGATTCTCCCGGAAGAGCTGGCCCAAGTGGAGGGGGAGAGGGAAGTCTGGGCCTCTCTGCTTAAGTTATTGCCCCCATGACCCAACTCTGAAAAACGGAAGAAAATGGATCAATCCCTTTTCTGCTTTTTAATTTGATAGCGTGGCCGCTAGTTGTCTGACAACACTAATCAATGGTAGTCCTTAGCTATCACAGGTACAAATACATCAACGTTTTTACCAATTATTCTGAAAAATATTTAAATGCATTCAAATTTGAACCTGTTCACTCTTAAAGTAGCTGACACAAAGAGTCAGCTCGACCATGAACAGCACATCACTACAGAGCACACACATGAAACCAACCAATGGCATGTTGCTTTTGTCTTGTTGTGTTTTTTTAAACCTGCCTTTCTTCACGTTTCACATCAACAGCTGTTCCTACATATAATCTGATGTTTTTTTATTCTTTAAAATATGGTATACATTAAATATAACAGAATTACACATTAAAAATGAAAAGAACCCAAAATGTTTTCCCATATTGATTATTTGTTATAAGTGTCAGTTTACAGGTAATGTGCACATGTCAATTACAGTGAAGAAAAAAACCTAAATACATACTAACTACTTTAAATGAGTCGTTATGTCCATGTGAATCTATATTTAAAACATTCTGGTGTTTTCCTGGGGGAATTCTTCTGTTTCAGCCTCATTTTCACTGGTTTGAGCCTCAGGTGTTGCTTAAGAGATTTCAATTAGTCACACTCGTGCAAAGATGCAGAACCAGTTGGCTGAAGGTAAATTGTGCTTGCATGTTTGCTCTGATGTCACATCTAGCAGCTTGAAAAGCAAAAGGAAGCTTCACTTGTTTGATCTACTGGATATTCTACTTATCTTCATAAAGATACCAGTAAGGTCAGAACGTATCAGTTAACACAGAGCTCAGACAAAGGCCTCTTCCTACGTTTGTTTGCCTTTTTGCCCTTTTTCTTTGAGACAAAACACACACTCTGCTTCTTTCACTGCAGCATGAAAGCAGGTGCAGCTCTTGCACCCTCAGGTGACAAAGGCAAGGCTCTGATTACAATCTCCGAATCTGATTACGAATCAGAAGGTGACCTAATGGCAGCGTCACAGGCGCTTCAAATGGCTGGCTGCCACCAGCAAGGCAGACTATCACAGCAGCTGTGTGTGTGATCGGGGTTTACAACAACTTGATGTGTGTTCATGAGCTCAGAACCAAAGGATCATCACAAGAGGCGATATCAGTCTTTGGTGTGTGTTTGTAGTTCCCCAGAGTAAACACACGGACCGGATGGGTTCCCAAAAATGAAAAACAAAACTATTTTAAGATTTTTGGGCGTTCTTCTCAGAAATGAATCTAAAAAAGGTCACAAATGATCCCATAGGCATTAAACAGTCAGGTTTTATACACAAACTGCTTGAGTTTTGGACAACAAGCTCCCTCTCTCCCCTCTCTCCCAGAATTGTCTGCCATCGATAAACCGATTAGAATCAAGCAGATTAAACCCTGGTCACGGGATAATCCTAAATTACATTAAACACTGTGTCCAAATCTGCAAAGTCATCAAGTGAAACTCCTCAGACAGCCAATTAAATCTCTACCATTGTTCCACAACCAGAGGCACATCCAGAATGTTTTTTAAGAGGGCCTAGCCTAATGGGGGGCTACTGATAATCTCAGGGTGGCAGAAAAATCCAGTTTCATGTGTTAAGACAATTTCAAACTGTTTTTCAGCTGTCCTAGATAAATCTGACGTGAACAGAATTGTGACGTGAACGTGATGGTGACTGGCAGGTTTAAGGCTAGCCAGTGTCATCAGCTAACCAACAGTTTATTGACCACTCTCACAGACAAATTCAGCCTCCAACAGTCTTGATGCAGCATCAGAAATCCTACTAATTCAGTCTGCAATCATCCAATGAAATTACACCCAGGGAGTGATGCAAAAACACGAGTGACGAGTATTCAATATGAGCAAAAATTTGCAACAGTGAAGAACATTGTTGCTACACGCAAGAACATGTGGAACGTTCCCTTTTGGAGTTTGGTTTGGAGTTTAAAATAAGAGTTACCGGTGGAGCTTTGTTCTCTGTTCATCGTTGTCTTGGGTTGGCTTTTAGGTATGTATGCTTTTCGGCGCGTACGGTTGTGACGTTAGCATATCCTGCTAGAGCGAGACGTGCAGTTTGACTCACTGAAATCTTGGGCGTACAGTGTGATGTTAAACAGTCCTTTGCAAAAGCCGATAAACCCAATGTGGCCCGCTCTTTAGGGAACTTAATCAATTTTCTACTCCCATTCAGATTTTACTCTGCGGTGCAACATCCAGCTACATCTATCTATGTTGCTCTACTTTGAAGCGTTGATGCACTTAAAAACACGTGTTTACGTGGATGTATTACATGCTTTGACATCTAGGCTTCCATAGAAGCACCCTGTTGATGTTTAGCTCATGAGGCTAGTCCATCAAACAAAAGCGAGGTTTAATTCGTGGAAATTTGAGATAAAAAAAATAAGCCTGATGTTAGGCTTTATTCTTGTCATCTTTCTAGAGTGATTTGAATGTTTTGATCACTACTAAAGACCATAACTCCTACACGCCCTGTCTGCAGTCTCCTTAAAATATGAACTCTGGATATTTTAGGCTTTAAATAATCAGAAAACATCTGCAAAAAAAAAAACTAAATGAATCCCACTGACGATCGAGTCATGAATGGACTCATTTAAATATACAACCATCGCCTGGGAGGGCAAACTTTGGTAAACGGCTGTCACCAAAATGCCTCGTGCAATGACAAACAATTAAAGTGTTGCACACATAGAATTTTTCCATCTGCTAAATTTGTATTTTTTAAAAATGTCTGTATAAAACTGTCTGGATGAGTTTCAGCGGGGTTGTGCTAATTCTGTACAGGGTCATTGCCCCCCTGACCTCTAATTAGGAGTTCCCCTGTGTGCAACAGTTTACTACACTGTACATAAATGGTTTGTGAACATTAGTCTGTTTACTAATAAAATTAGCATTTCAGTTACAAAACTGTAATGTTACATTTAGCAACCAAAACATAAGGCGGTTGTGATGGTTCTTCCTCTGAGCCTTACCAGCTCCTCTTGGGCAGAAGAAGCAACTATTAAAGCAGAAAAATGACTGATCTGAGCAGACTTGCTGTGAGTGTGTGTGTGTACGAGTGAGCAAGTCTGCATGTAGCTGCTGCAGCAGCAATGTAGGTCACTGTGCTTCTGAGACATGTGACCAGGAACTTCAGAGGCCTCTGCTGCCACCTAGAGGAAGCAGCACATACTACCACCTTACAAACTTCACAGCTTTGTTTCTCTTTGAAACAGACCAGCTAATCTCTTTACACATACATGATACGTCCCTGGCGAGTGACAACTACGCAGCTGTGGAGGTTTAGAATCATTTCATTTATTTACAAAAGCAGAAAAAAGTAAAACATGGTGAAAAACAGCCACGAGCTAAAAAGCACAGTTAAACAGAGGAGATGCCTTTCTGACACGACACCAGTCACATGAGATTTATCCTGACAGCAGTGTTGATGTTTAGTTTAAGGAATAAACCTGGTTAAACTGCTTTACTGATCCAAGCTGCATCATCTGAAAACAGAAATCTGTCACTCCCCCCCCCCCCCCCCCCCCACCCCCCCACCCCCCGCTGCTGCGGTTCTCCTCTAGAACTTGAACTCTTTGTATTTCTTGGCGCTGCCTCTGGTATCCTGAGGCTGGGCCTTCCTCTTCTTTTGCTGAAAGAGACGATGGAAGTGGAGAGCTGTTAGATCTCTTATGGTTGATTGGTTTCTGAACAAAGACCAGCTTAGATACCTTCTGCTTGGCAGCGTGCTCAGCCACCATGTCGCTGAAGTCCTCCTTCTCCACCTGGGCCTGCTGTTCTCTGACGTGCTCCTCGTACTTCTGCGTCATGGCCATCGGGTCCAGCTCCAACTCCTCGGGGGCCAGGGCCACCTCTACGCCATGGGAGTCATGCCCTCCACCGGTCTTACGACTCACCATGGCCTAGAAGAAGCACAGATGAACAGTAATTAAGGAGGACGGCAGAAGGAGAGTTTTAAATAGTCGTGCCGTCTTTACCCCCGACATGTCGTAGATGTGCGTGGACGCCATCATGGCCGCCCCGACGGGGCCAGTTCGTCTCTCTGGCAGGACGGTGAAAAGCTGAGGAGTCTCGTTTCTATGGAAACGAGAACAAATCAAACAAACAAAAAAAAAAACTGGTTATTCTCCTGCTGAAGATTTACTATCAATGTTTATTAGCTTTGGAAAAGTAAACAACAACAGAACCAGCGAGATATTTCAGTCCCAGACGTTTCTGACCTCCAGATGATCAGAAACTCGTTTAGATCTAAAAATTAAAAACGTGCTGCCTCTCTCTGAATATTAAAGCAGATTTTTTACTCAAGTGGATCTTACTGATACTTAGTGGCAAAGTTCTGACTGACTTCCTGTTTACTTCTTAAACAGGAGGATGTATTCTAACCTGTGAACACCCAAGAGTTCCTCTTTACTAGACCGGTTCCCACTCTCAGAACCTCCGGGTCATTTTACTGGCAGCATGCACTGATCAGTGACATCAGTCACTGCCAAAATGGTCCTGACGTCTTAGCAAAGTCCCGAAAAGGTTGATTTAAGAAGTAAGAAGACAACGACGGAGGAGAATAGGCCAGCGCACCTTCCCCATCACCCTCATTCGGACGCATCGTTACCGGCCCATCCCATCCCAGAGTTCATGCACGGGAGATTCTGGTCCTTGCGACGATGGCGGGTGAAGCAGGAGAGGATGGAAGCATTTTAACCTCTTGTGGTACAAAAACTAAAAACTTCAGTGGTCTTGTCAGGATTTGTTTGTTTGAATGTCTGATTTTCAAATATATTTTCATCAAAAACGATGAGAAAACCCCTCGTGAAAGAGCCGATATGGTGAGGCCGCGTATTTCTTTATGTGTTCAGAAGTTTAGATTTAGCTTCTGCTTGGCACCGTGGAAGTTGCTAGGCGACAGGATCAGAAGGTTTACATCAACAGCCGTTCTTTTCTAGTCTCAGTGGATGAGGAACGACCTGACCCGTGTGGGCAGGTCCTAACGAGGACGCTGTCCCTGAATATGGACACATCCTTTGTCTCCCTGCTGAGAACCCTGATGCATCGACCAGTAAAAACGATGAACTAAAGGGGATGGAGGCAGCAGAAAAGCTGCTACACTCACCCGTCCATGGCCTCCTCGATCTTCTTCTTCCTCAGCTCAATCAGCTCAGGCGTCTCCGTGCCGATGGGCACCGACGAGAAGCCTCCAGGTGTGATCAGCCCACTGAGGAACAAAAGGAAAGATTTGTTTCATCTCCTACCCGTCTGGGAGAGGGTGATGCTGACAGGACACAGACCCACTACACCCACACAAGAGATCAGGTAAATCTAACCCAGTCTAACCAGTCACACAACTGTGTTCTTTAACAGCATTCAGACCTGTCAGCTGGTGTGAAGAATCCAGTTTCATCTGGCTTCTCTTCATCGCTCTCCTCCTCCTCTTCCTCCTCTGATGACTCCTCATCTGAAGGCTCCAGCTCTCCCCACGGCGTGCGGTCCACCTCCTCCTCCTCTGCTTTAGCCTGGGGACACACACACATACGCACACACACGCGCGCGAGCGCAAACAAAAACACACTTTTACACAGCTAGAAAAAAAAATGAAATAAAATAACAGAATCAATGATAAACATGATTTTCTTTCTTGTAAATTTGGGCTCTAAAAGCTGAAAATAATAAACAAAGTGCTTTAGAGAGCATCACATCAACCAGACTGGCTTTGATCTCACTGTTCCAGCTTGATTTTTATATTAAACTCTAAAACATGAACTCTATTCCTAATCTGTCAACAAAAACGTAATAAAAATGACCACCAGCTAGACTCCGCCAGGCTGTGATAGCATCAGAGTTTGAAGGAATCAATAAAGTCTGATGATGTCAGCAGGCCCTGGTTTTCATTTAGCACCTTTTTTTATATTTTGTGTGTAAAGCTGTTTTATTTCTGACCTGGAAGTCAGCGGAGTTGGTCCCAAACACGTCGCCGTAAAGCGGTTTGCCCATCTCGTCCACCGGCGGCTTGCCCCAGCCTCCGGCGTGATAACCAAACGTACAGTTCTGGTGATCAGGAACACACCCGGAAGCAGGAAGTTAGTAGGAAGCACGACACAAACACAACCAGAGGAGACCACGATGAACTCTTACATCTGGGATGGGCGAGTTGAGTCCAGGGATCTTGAGGTTGGGGTAGGAGGGAGGGGGGCCGTACCTCTGCATGGCTATCAGCCAGGGGGGGGGCACCTTGTGGGCGTTCTGATGGACAAGAAACAACACAAAAATGCTGAGTCATGAAACCATTTTAACACCTCGTTACGAGTAGCCTCCACCAAGCGTGCTACTATCCCTGTTACCATGGTGATGCAAACAGAAGCATCACACATGTTAACAGAAGAGGACAGCTTACCGGTCCCACGGGCATCCCCAGAGCGATCCGCAGCTCATCAGAGAGATCTCCTGGTTTCTTCTCTTTCAGACGCGTTTCAAACTCTTTACCCTAAAAACAAAAACACGCCATGAGATGATTTTTAAGTGAGGAGCAGCCAGAGGAGTGGTCCCATACCTCGTAGTAGAGGTCTCCATGGATGGTGAGCTTGGGCTTGATCTGCCACTTGAAGAACGCGTCATGGAGCTTCTGGTAGTCGATGTCGATCTTTCCCATCTTGGGACGAACCTTCTCTCTCATTTTGGTTTTCATGGTTTTGGCGTCCTCCTGCAAGCAGAACAGCTCCCATCAGTGACCACTAGAGGGCGAGGGAGGCAGAGGTCCCGCTGACACCCACCTTCTCCTGCAGAGCCTCCCTCATCTCCTGGATCCCCGTCCTCCTGATGAACTCCGGCAGCTGGAACGGGGGCTTCTCTATGCCTCGCTTGCCCTGCAGGTACTTGCGTTTGAAGCACCAGTGGCGCGGCACAGGGACCGTGTTCCTGGTGGCCTTCAGGTGCACCAGCAGCTTGGGCTCCTGAGCCGTCACGTCGTGCATCTCCACCACATCGGGTCGGGCCACCAGCTGGACGTAGGAACATTTGTGACTAAAGACTCTGATACCAACTACAACATCAACTAGAAGGAAGCTGCTCTACCTGTTTGAGCTCAGCTACTGTCAGCCTGTTCATCCTCCTCAGCTTCTTCTTGGACAGTTTAGGAACATCCTGTTTGACTTCCTGTGAGGTTTTTGGACGTTAAAGGGGCACAAAATGTTTTTACCCACCAGAAAGCTCAAATGACCGAGTTCGTACCTCATCGCTGTCATCACTGTCTCTCCTCTCCAACTCAAACCCTTTCTTTCGCAGAACGCCTAAAACTTCCTGCTTTTCCGCCTTCTCCGGCTCCTTCTCCTTCTCTTTTTTCACATCATCAGTCAGCTAGGAACGAGGAAGGACAGAAAAGTGTTATCACAACAACACAGAGACACACCTGAACCTGTGCTGCAGATTAAAATCACCTTAAAAGCCTCAAAAATCCTCTTGAAGAAGATAAAGTTCGGGTCGTAGATCTCCGGCTCATCTGTGACGTACTCGATCTCCACCTCTGGCTCCTTCCCTTTCTCTTTCTCCTTCTCCTTCTCACCACCTCCCTTCTTCTGCTGCTGCTCAGCTTGTTCCTTCTTCTCCTGAGCTCGCTTCTTCTTGCTCTTCTTTTTGCGGTTCCTCCTCTTGCGGTTTTTCTGAGGGAGAAACAAAAATTGTTTGTTCAACTCAAAACGGGATCAAACTTGGTCACTACTAGGTGCTCCTGTGCTTTGTGCAGATGGGACTTACATCTTTTTTAGACATCAGACCATCTTCGTCGTTCTCAGACATCAGCGCTGAGGAATTGGTGGCATCCATGTCCCTCCCATCATCGTCGTCGTCTGTAGAGGGGAGAGTCAGTGAAGCAAAGAGCTAGAACCAGAGTAAACATCGGTGTGGCCGACGCTCGTCTGAGGGAGCTAAAGGAGGCTACAAAATCACAAACTGATGATGACCTGGCTTTGTTGCTACTGGATTTGTAAATAATATTGTTTGTTCAAAAGTCTGGATCTTTTTACTTTGTGGTTTATTTTAGTATTAGTTGGCTAATGTTAGCATTAGCTCATTGTTAGCACTGGCTACAGCAGGGTTGTTTGACTCTTGTAATTCCACTTTCAACCAGTAGGGGTAGAGGCTTAATGTGTGCAGCTTTAACTAACGATAGAGACCAAAATCATGTTCCATCCATCCATTTTCATCCGCTTATCCGGAGTCAGGTCACGGGGGCAGTAGCCTAAGGTGAGAGGCCCAGACTTCCCTCTCCCCAGCCACTTGAGCCAGCTCCTCCGGGGGAATCCCAAGGTGTTCCCTGGCCAGGTGAGAGACATAGTCCCTCCACCGTGCCCTGGGTCTACCTTTAGGTCTCCTCCCCGTTGGACGTGCCCGGAAAACCTCACCGGGGAGGCGTCCAGGAGGCATCCAGACCAGATGCCCGAGCCACCTCAACTGGCTCCTCTCGATGTGGAGGAGCAGCAGGTCTACTCCGAGCCCCTCCTGGATGACCGAGCTTCTCAATCTATCTCTAAGGGAGAGCCCAGCCACTCTTTGGAGAAAACTCATTTCGGCCGCTTGTATCCGCAATCTCGTTCTTTCAGTCACTACCCAAAGCTCGTGACCATAGGTGAGGGTAGGAACGTAGATCGAACGGTAAATCGAGAGCTTCGCCTTCTGACTCAGCTCTCTCTTCACCACAACAGACCGGTACAATGCCCACATCACTGCAGATGTAGCACCAATCCACCTATCGATCTCACGCTCCAGTTTTCCCTCACTTGTGAACAAGACCCAGAGATACTTAAACTCCTCCACTTGGGGCAGGACCTCATCCCTGACCCTGAGAAAGCATTCTACCCTTTTCCGAATCAAGACCATGGTCTCAGATCTAGAGGAGCTGATTCTCATCCCAGCTGCTTCACCCACACACTGGGTGTTGCCACCACGGCAGGTACTGACGATCCTGCGACCACAGCTCTGGTCGGTTGCCTCAACAATGGAGGCACGGAACAGGGTCCATTCAGACTCAATGTCCGCCGCCTCCCTCGGAACATTTTGGAAGTTCTGTTGGAGGTGGGAATTGAAGCTCCTTCTGACAGGAGACTCTGCCAGACGTTCCCAGCAGACCCTTGCTATACGTTTGGGCCTGCCTGGTCTGACCGGCATCCTTCCCCACCATCTGAGCCATCTCACCACCAGGTTGTGGTCAGTAGACAGCTCCGCCCCTCTCTTCACCCGAGTGTCCAAGACATGCGGCCGCAGGTCAGACGAGACAACAACAAAGTCGATCATCGAGCTTCGGCCTAAGGTATCCTGGTGCCAAGAGCACATATGGACACCTTCATGTCTGAACATGGTGTTCATTATGGACAATCCATGACTGGCACTGAAGTCCAGTAACAAAACACCACTTGAATTCAGATCGGGGGGCCGTTCCTCCCAACCACACCTCTCCAGGTCTCACTGTCGTTGCCCACGTGAGCGTTAAAAGTCCCCCAACAGAATGAGGGAGTCACTGGAAGGAGCGCTTTCCAGCACCCCCTCCAAGGTCTCCAAAAAGGATGGGTAGTCTGAACTGTAGTTTGGTGCATAAGCACAGGCCACAGTCAGAACCCATCCCCCCACACGTAGGCGGAGGGACGCTACCCTCTCATTCACTGGGGTAAACCCCAAAGTACAGGCACCAAGATGGGGGGCAACTAGTATGCCTACCCCTCCTCGGCTCCTCTCAGTGGGAGCAACTCCAGAGTGGTAGAAAGTCCAACTCCTCTCAAGGAACCTGGTTCCAGAGCCAGAGCCATGTGTTGAGGTGAGTCCGACTTTATCTAGTCGGAACCTCTCAACCTCTTCATGTTCCTACAACAGAATTTTAGGAACAATGTAGCTGAAAAAAGGGATAAAATTCATGAAAAAGCACAAACTGAAAGACAATCGTCATCAAAAACTGAAGAAATTATTGTTAAGTCTCAACCTCGCTGAGAAAGATGCAATCTCACTGTGCTGAAAGGGCTTTAATTCATCCCTGCAAACTCAGAAGGGGTAAAAAAAAAAAAAAAAAAAAAAGAAGGTGCAAACTAAAATCAACCACCTGTCACCACGTGACAAGTGGTGACAGGTGGTTGATTGATGAATGCCCCTCCTTCCTCTGAAAACGGATTGACTGAAAGCGGGTTAGGGTGGAAGGTGGCAGCAGTGCAACTGCACAGGAAGCAAGCTGCTGTTAAAACCCCAACCAAAGTCCTCCCCCCCAAAAATAAACTTTACAAAACGGGAACGCCATATTTAGCTTCAAAGATGTCGAATTTACCAAAAAGTGACAAGTTTGCAGATTTGTTATTTACAGCCAATTAGGTTGTATATGAATATAAATCATAAAAATGTAAGGATTAACAAATAAATCTTATTTAATCAACAACTAATCATTTAGAAGAACTATGAAAAGGATCTAAGAAGCGTCTGAGACCTGCTACATCAGTGAGCTGCCCCTGTCTGATCTCCTTCAGCTGCAGGATCTTCTCCAGAACCTGAGGGATCTTTGGCCCACTGATGCTGATCTCTTCATGCTGCCAGGCCTGAAAGAGCACAGATACGACAGAAAAATATTTTATTGAAACAAAAAGTTCATTTAAACCACAGCAGCCTGCTTCAGTCAGTGAGCTAGCAATAATTTAAAGGGACATCCTCTCAGAGGGAAATCACTTAACTGGATTTTTAAGCAGGAATAAAGGTAAACATTTAAATACAGAATTTATTTGAAAAGAAGAATTTATGTAAAATGTTAACAGATAAAAACCAGAGTGATGTGAAGGAGGTACAATATTAATCAGAGATTATTGCACTTTTAGAACAGCTAAAGCTAAAAAACAAACATCAATTTCCTATGGAAGCCCATTAAATTAACTCATATTTATGCCATTTCATAATGACTTAGCTATTTTGTTACTAGGCGGCTAAGTCATCATTATGAAACACAAGATGTATTTTTAAACAGAGTGGTGTAAATGGGCTTCAATGATTTACTGCACCAGTAATAGGGATGGGTACCTTTGACATTTGAATCGATCCGGTACTAATTACCGGTACCTAGGAATCGATACCGGTACTTAACGGTACCAATTTTCGATACTTTTGAGTGTTTAATATTTTAATTTTCTTTCATAATTAAATATATATTTTTCTCAATATATAACCATATTTGATAAATATCACGATAAATAACATACAACTGTTTGTATTTTAACATCGTCCTTGTAGTTTTATAAGCTGATAATTAAACTGAAGCAAACATCTTTACTGTGAACTAAATTTACTGTGTATCTTCATTCCTTTTACCGTCCTTTTTCAATTGATTTTTCCTACTGGGAAGTTAGAATTTCCGAGGAGAAAGCGAACGCACCATTAGCTGATAACAACGGTGGCAATGGAAGCTAACATATCAAGCTAACGTTATCTTAAACAGTTTATTTAACTGCTGGAGCAGATTAAAACGATGATGCCTCACACTTAGATTGTTGTCGCTGGTTTCATCTTCACCCAATCACCCGTCGCATTTAGTGAAGTGGACCCAAGCTTAAGCGTTCGTTCGTTCTACCATGCTGCTCTGTTTACAACTGGCTCGCAGCGACCGATGACTTAACGCTCTTGCGCATGCGCAGCTGTCTAGGCAAGTTCTCGTTGTGAAGGACGGGTACCGAAACGAGACACCGTTTCAAATTAAGTGAATCGGTGCTCGGTCGGTACTATGGAATTTGGTCGGTACCTTAAAAAGTACCGAATTCGGTACCCATCCCTAAAAGCAGCATGACGATAAAATCTCGTGTTTAAGAGAGCAGGACTTCCATGTGCAACAGGAGAAACTCCGTTTCAGTCTGTTTACCTCTTTGTCTTCTCCTGGAGGGGGGGGCACCCTCTGTTTCTGGGAGGGCAACAACGTGACACCAGGAGGAAGCGGCCCACGAGGATCCAAGATAGAAACTGAAAAAGAGTTTTGAAAAAGTGGTCATTGCTGTAGAAACTGGACTTACATGAAGTTATGTGTTTTTATTTGAAATAACACATTAGACTGACCAATGGGCAAAGACCTGGGCTGCAGCTTGGCCATCTCCTGCTGACGCTCCTGTTCCAGCAGCACAGCAGCCTGGCACACGCAGACGGGGAGGGGGAGACATAAATACAAGGTGAACATGTAGGAAGTGCAGATTAAAGATAAACCCCTGAGTTTAGTTAAAGCTCTGCTCTGGATTGTTGGCTTCTATTCAGCCGATTACCTGCAATTAGACAAGAAGCAGATGTATATCTAACTTGGCCACTAGGTGGGGAAAAGGCTCTTAAAATCATCACTTTGCAAAGTGAAAGGTTCATTCTGTTAGAGCAAACGGGGCCTTCAGCTCCCCTAAATATTAAACGGAACATCTTTGCCTTTTCTGCTGCTCTAGAAGGTCCTGTTCACCTCTTGTTGTAACCAGAATGAGCAAAAATCCACAATTCACAACAGGATTTTGCCTCAACTAACCCAATTAAAAAACTATTTCTGATTTATATTTTGTTGTTTCAGCGTCCCACAATCTCCCAAATGCATAATATTCTTAGCGTGTAGTGTTCTAAACCAACAACGGAACATGATGGTCTGAGGGCTTCACCTGTTTGGCTCGTTCCTCCTGTTGGAGAACCATGGCCGCCCTGTGCTGAGCCATCTTCAGCTGGTCGTCCTGCGTCAGCGCTGGAGGCAGCAGGGGTCCGTGCTCCATTCCTAAGGGTAAACCAGGAGGAGGAGGACCTCCAGCGGGCATCATGCCCATAGGCTGGAGCATTCCGATGCCAGGGGGCATTGGAGGCATGGGTAATGGGGGAAGAGAAGGTAACCCTGGCATCTGGAGGAAGAAGGAAGTAAATTAATTAAAGGCAAACACCCACTGAGCCATGAGCTTAACTGAACCTCAGTTTTCACAAGTTTCATTTGTTTGTTTTGTGATAATGTGGTTAAACAATTAAATCTAGTCTCTCATCCACCTGTGTTGTTAAAATCTATACAGTGCAGTGATCACCATGGCGACTCTTGGTTTTATTTACTGCGTTTTTTGATGGTTGCCAGAAATATTGTGATAACACAAGAAGACATTTATGAAAAAAAACTCTAAGACCAACAGAAAAGTGTATCAGTACATTAAACAGTGACGTCACAACAATCTGATCAGTCCTTACCTGGACGCCCATTGGGTTGTCTTCATTTGGTTTGCTGAGGATAATTCCTGTCTGTAGGACAAAAACAAACGGGCAGATCCAGTAGATAAATTAGTACTAAAACAAGTTTCTTTAGGAAACAAATCGTGATGAGGAAGTGGAAAAACCAGAATCACATTTCTAAAGCGTTTACCTGCATCATGTAGCCCTTCAGTCTGTCAATCAGCTCCTCTCTGGGACCTGGATGAGAGAAAATAACTGTTAGACAACAAGGAAGTGATTCCAGGAGCGCAAGACAAATTCGAAGTTTTACTGATTCAATAAGATACAAACAGAACGCTACACTGCGTAAATGCAAAGACTTACGCTCAAAGTTAGCAAAATAAGCTAAACGTAAGATAAATACGTTTAAATAGAAGACCCAAACCAATCAAACGTTTAGCTGTTGCTTTAAACGTCACAAATCACGCAGGTAGATTCACTATGTTGTGCTCTAGTGAATGTAAACACACGTAGAGTCTGTAGTTGGCCTACTTTAATAATGCGTTACCAAACTGCTAGCTAAAGTTAACGGAAGGCTAATACCTGGTAGCTAAATTCATTGTTCGATGAGTGCCCTCCAAGTATTTCTTACCCATATTTGGTGCGCCCAGGTCAGCCAGCTTGGCTTGAAGCTCCGGATTGCTCCATGTGTTTAAAGCTGCGATTGCACCTCCTAAATCAGGCGAAAGAGAATCGCTACCCGTTACTCCGTCGGATGCCATGTTGAGCTTCTCTCAATGGAACAACGGCGGCAGCGGAAACAACGCGAGAGTGAGACGAAGATTGGACCAATGCATTGTGGGAAACGTGCCACAACGTAAAAAAAAATTCTTTTAAATTGAACTTTTTCATTTACAATTAACATGGCATAAATTCCTTTGTTTTACATTACCCGGGATCAGGTGCAAAAAATAACAAAAGAGACTTTGCATAGAACGCAAGAATATTTGTGAACGAAACGAACAAACAGAAAAAAATAAATAAATAAAAAAGAGACAAAGAGCTAGGGCTTTGTTTTCAAATCATACTTTTCAAAAAGATTAAGGAGTTTCATTGCATGTTTACTTTTCATAAACTTAAGGGCTTTGGAGAAAGAAAGACACTCGTTATGAAATGCATAGAATCTGGCTTCACATTTCCATATCTACATTTGTGAATGTAAAATTTAGCTACAACGATTATGTTATTTACCAGAAAGTCCCATTCAGTGTTATCTAATATGGCACCGTAAATGACATTGTTCTCAGAAAAGGGTTCAATAGGTATCTTTGTGTGTAGCCAGTCATGGATATCATTCCAGAGAGCTTCAGAGAAAATGCAGTAAAATAATAAATGAACAGAGGTTTCTTTATCATCACACCATACACACTTATTTGTTTTGAAACCACATCTCTGTCGTAAGAATTCCCCAGATGGGTGTACGTCATTTAAAACCCATGCCCAACTAAAAAACGTGTGCTGGAAGTTGGTTCATGTAGCCACGGGATGTCAGTGTTGGCACAAGAGAATTTATTAACAAAAGCGAAACTTTTTAGTTTCATTTTTGAAATTTGGTTCACGAATTACAAAATTTAAAAGTAAAATGTAATCAAAGTACAGTTTTTTTTCTCAACACAAGTTGTGTAATGGTCATCTTGCACCAAGAAGGTTGCTGGTTTTCTTAGATGTGGAGTTTTAATTGTCGTATTGTGCATGCACTTGAGCAATACTTTGTCAAGAAGACACGAACCTGGTGCCCAAGTGCTGATGAGCAAACTGCCTTTCCTCCCCTTTCGGTCAGCTCATAGGTCCCTGGAGCATAGAAAAAAACGAATACAAGTGAACAAGGCTATAAAATCTATTTTCTAATCTGCTTTGCCTTACGCCCTGAAATGCACATTTTTGTACTTCAATTCAAATGAAAAGTATTTATGTGTGTTTCTGTGTCTTTCAAATATTTTGAGATGTATTAGCTTGTAAAAATTTGTAATTAAAACAGACTACAAATCAGATGTTGCATATATGATGTCACCACAAAATCTCTTCTCCCACAGCGTAGGTGCTACATAACACATGGTCAGATTTATAGTGCTTTTATCCATGCATAATGCTCATTTAATGCTCCACCATTGGAAATCATGGTAAACAAAAGACGTTTGAATCTAGAAATAGTGACTAGGTGTTTAGCGCTCTCTTGTTTAATGTGGCAATGCATGTTCCCCAATCAGGAAGACTTGGCCTAGGGATAGCCGACGGGGGCGGGTTCCTTGACTAGCTAGCTTGGTTTGCAGAATTGTCATTGTAGCTTTAATGTTTTTTTATGCAATGGGAAACAAGCAAAGTAAGCATTTCACAGCAGCATTTTAAGTGTGTTAACCGTTTGTGACAATAAACTCCTTGAGCCGACAGAAATCTATTTTGAAAGATTGGTATTCCCATGCGAAAGCGTAAGTTAAATGACCTGCACTTGTACAGCACGTTTTT